CTCCTCAGGCCTCCGCCCCCCATGCTCAGACGCCCCCTGGCTCCGGGCCAGGGAGGAGGGGGAGGACCTCTGCCACCAGTTCTCCCAGGGGACCACACTGCCCCTTCATGGCATGTGGCACCATGAGAACAAAGTGCTTCTTCTAATTGTTTTGTTTCACATCTGTAAACTCCATCAAGGCAGGGACCGCGTCATCTTCATGACCCCTGACTCTTGAGCCTTGCTCCCATGGTGGCTCATAAACAACGTGCTCGAAGACACTCTGCTGACCGCCCGAGTGCCCACCCTGGGTTATAGCTGGGGTGCCGGGGCCACACTGGCTGGCTCTGAGTCTGGCTCCTCCACTTATTAGCCATGTCATATTAGGCAAGAGACTTGACAGCTATGTGTATCAGTTTCTTTATCTGTAAAGTTGGGTGGATAAGGTGTTTACACCTCATGGGGCCAAAACAAATTAAGACATCTAAAGTCCTTGGAAAAAAGTCTGACATATGGACGGTGCTCGATAAAAGTGCAGACCATTAATCCAACCCCCCCAGGGCAGGAGCAGGGGGGTTTTGCTTAATCTAGATCAGCCCTGATTGGGGCAGGCCTGGCCTCCGGGGAACCGAGTGTTCCCTCCTACAGGGGCTCCCTGTGCAGTGACCCACATACCACCTGTCTGGGTGTGGCCTTCATCTCTTCTGGGGGCCTGGCCACAGGATGACCCCTCCACCCTGTTGCTGTAGCCTCTGGGAGGCTGGGAGGAGCCTGGGAGGGCGGGGGGCGGGGGGAACGGGACAGGTCGGGCCAGGGCCAGGGAATTCACGAGAGTATCACGGCTTTAAATTCGCAGCAGAAATCAGAAAATCTGATTTTGCACATCTAAGAATAGCCGTTGGTTTCAACTGTGAGAGTGCCAAAGTGAAAGCTATAATTATTAGTACGTAACAAGCAGAAATTAACCACCTACCGCAAAGTCATTTTTAGCTGCCATCCCAAGGTGGAAATTAAAAGATGGGCACCAAAAAGCTGCCTGGCTTGGCAAAGGCTCTGGTTCAACCCGGAATATCTGTGAAGTCTGACTCTCCGATGGCCAACCATGAGGTCTGCATCTTAAGGAAGTTGTATGGCTCCTAGGGAGATGGGTTTTGTACTACAATAAACATCAAATGCTCTAAAGCAGCCCCCCGACTCTGACTCCTTCCCCAGTAAGACCCCAGAGGCACTTATTTCTATCTGGCCTGGGTTTCCCTCCTGCAAAATGGAGGAGATAACCCCTTCTGACCTTCTTTATAAAACGGGTGTATATACCAATGGCCCCAGAAGTTACTTGGAATTTCAGGAAAGGAGACCGTAAAAATAGGCAAATGTCATGTGAAGCCCAGATGCCATAAAGAAAAGATTGATAAATGTATTTTTTAAAGACTGGAAAAAAAAAAAAAGAAACAAAAACACTAACAAAATAAAAACAGGAGAAAATATTTATAGCTCATATCACAGACACAAGGCAAATTTCTTTGGCACATAATAAATGCTTACAAATAAAAAAGGAAAGCTCAGTCAGTGTCTAAGAAGATAAATGAGCAGAAGCCATGAACAGACAATTGAAATACCATTTTTCACTGATCAGACTGGCAGAGATCTAGAAGTCTGTGAATCCGCTGTGTTGACAAGGATGTAAGAAAATGGGCATTCGCACATTGTTGGCTGGGCTGTAAATTGGTACTATTCTATGGAAGCCAATGTGACAAAATTTATCACAATTAAAGAGAACACACCCTTTGATCCATCAATTCCATTCTTAGGAATTTATCTTATATGCAATATATAGAAGGATACTTACTGATGCATTGTCTGTAATGGCAAAATATTAGAAATAATCTAAATGTCAGTCAGTGGAGTACTGGGTAAATTATGGTAAATTCATACAATGGATTTATACTATGCGGCCGGCAAAAACTCTGAGTCAGCGTTAGGTATGCTGACAAGCAATGATCTCCCGGTGTGTGTGCTAGCTAGCAGGGGTGCTGGGGGTGGCAGTGGCTGAGGCTCAGGGGCAGGATGGAGATTTTTCACTCTGATCCTTTGTACCCTTTCAATTGTGTACCATATGCAGGTACTACTATTTATTCAAAAATAATTTAAATACAACTGTTACATAGGTCCCAACAAACTAAGGAACAAAACAGACCCATCCTACGCCGGTCAGCCACGAGGTGTCCTGGTGAAGAGCTTGAGACACTGGAGCCAGAAGCATCCAGGATAGGAGGAGGAGGGAAAGGGACACAGAGGGCGGGGTGTGCCCAGGGAGCGGGGCCCACCCCTCAGGAATGGGGGGGCCTTGTGTGTCAAACATCGTCCGTCTTCCCGGATCTACGCTCACTGCTGGGCCACTGGCCCACTCCCTCACAGGGCGGCCGGAGGGTCAATGTCCCATTCATGATCTCTTTGCCATTCAAACGGACATACCAGTGGCCCAGGGGCCTGCTCATAAAACAGGCTGGAAGTCAAAGGTGGTCTCAGAGTGACCTCACCTGCAAGCCTCAAATCTGGGGCCACCTCACCATGGGCTCTTGCCATGAGCTCCCACTAGACTCAGCTCACCAGAGAAAACAACCAAGAGAGAAGAGACCCACAAACGCCACAGAAACACCATGGCCTGGGGTGTTAGGCCTTGATCTTTGGAAGTTTCTTCCAAAGCTTGCAAAATTTACAGAATCTGGCCATACTGCCAGACCTAATGATGGACCCATAAACTGTCCAAAAGTCGGGGGGGGGGTCACTGTTATTTTGCCTCTTGGAGCAGCAGAGCTCAAACCACAGGTGGTAAAACCTTATAGTCCAGTGGAAGCTGTTCTCTGAGTTCGTTCTGAATTTACCTCTTCAAAGACCACATGAATATGTGATACGATTCTAAATCTTGACTTAAACCAAGTCATTGCTTTGAAGGAGTCCATACGGCACAAATCCTGTACAGATTCTAACTTACTCAATTCCTTCGTACAACAGAAGCACCCTGCATATTCTGTCCAGAGTTTAAAAGGCAGGTTTGGTGTTCGTTTTCCATAGTTCAATCCCACCAACGTATAGAAGGTTAAAAGCCATGCCCATTAACCAACAACGAGAGCTTTATTCCGTGCTACAGGCTATGCCAATGAGAAGTGGGTATCACACGATTATGTCCAAATTCAAGGACAGCTCCAAACTGAATCCTAGCTATCCAGTTCTTCAATGTTCTAATCAGCGGCTACAAAATTTCCTCCCGAGAGTCATGGGGGAAACACACAAAGGAACAGAGTCTGGATAACTGAATAAGGGGCAGCAAGCCAGCAGGAGAAACTGTCCTGGAACTTAGTGACCCTCATTCAGATCACTGACTTTTCCAAGAAACAGGGGAAGAGGAGCAATGCCTGTGAGGTCAAGGAAGTTCATTCCAGCCTTGAAGGACTGCCTTCAGCCCTGCTGGGGTTTTTTTGTTTTTATTTTTAAGACGTTGGTTGGCCCTTCAAAATCTCCATTTCAATTCCAACTGGAAAGACCCCTCGGCCCCCGACGCTGGCCTTGCAGGGTCAGCGGGTCTCTCCTGGCCCAGACGCTGCAGCCTTCTCAGGCTTCTCTCTGTGTTCTCTGCAGTCACTGCTCGTGAGGGCGACCGAACGGGACAGGCGCCAGGCCCTCGAGTGGGGACTGAGCTTGTCTGCGGCGGCACAGGGCACGGAGGGCAGGGCATTCCCGCTGTCCCCGTGCCCCGGCTCATCCGGGACCCAGCGAGAGGCCACATGCCGGCAAGCGTCTGTGCCGGAAGAACAATCAGCACATTCATGAATCATCCCTCTTTTGTGCTTCTGCTTAGAAGAATGTAATTTGCTAATTTATGGCTTCATTAAAGATGCCAACACAGAGGAGGCTGGCTGAGCGGGGCTCGGTGACACGCCAAAGCCAGGTAAACCTGACTATGTTTTCATACACCAAGGTCTGCCAATGGTTCCAAATGAGGCTGAACATCACACAGTTAGCTTTGGCAAAAAAAGGAGTAAATAGATGGACAATGGTGGATAACAAGCACTTTCCCCAGCCCAACCTGGGCTTCTACTGTGCACCCTGAGGGTCCGGCCTGGGAAGGCCCAGGTGGCGTCTTGCAGACCCAGTGCTAAAGCTCGAGGAACAGAAGTTACCAATCGTACATAAACATGAACACGTCAGTAAATCAGCAGCCACCATTTGCCCCGAGCCTCTGCGCAGTGGGGCGCTCACTGCCACACTGCCTGGGTGTGGGACGTATTGTGGGCATTTTTAGCCCGGCAGCAGCACTTATGTGAAGCTGGGGGTGGGGGGCAGCCCTCTCTGCTCCTTGGGCTGGTTTCCAGTTCGGCGGTGCTCCCTGCTCTGTGGGAAGCAGGAGTGCTGGGGGCGGGGGCAGGGACATCAAAAGCGCTGCCCCTTCCCTGGGTTTGATGGAGACCTCTGATTCATCAACACACACGTTCCCTCGCCCAGGGACTCTAGAGGTCACTGCCAGGATGCGCCAGGCACTGTGTTCGTCAGCCCTAGGAGGTGGGTGCTACTACCCACCCCCCCCCAGATGAGGAAGCCCAGGCTGAGGTGAAGCGATTAGCTCCTGTCTACACAGCTGGTAGAGTAGGGGACTTCCGGACTTCCGAGCCTGGGACACCCTGCCTTGCTGTCCCCTGCAAAGGAAGCCCAGGTGTCTGTTGCTCTCTGCCTCCTGCTGTGGCACAAAGCCTCCATCGCACCCAGCGACCTCCCCAGGCCCCTCAGACGCCCATCAGATCATCTCCACCTGATGGATGCCTGTTCCATACCAGGTTCCGGGGAGCGATGGGGAGACACAGAGAAACTAATGGTTCCTGAAAAGCAGTAGTGACATTTTGGCATGTAACTGCGAAGGCTTTGATTTTTCCAAACCCCTCCAGAAAGGGGTTGTAGGCTAAACAGGCAAGTGCCCACAGGACCCTCCGGTATCCGGCACAGCGATGGGGGTGGGGGTGGGGCAGTACCTGCATGGAGCCAGATCTGCGCCAGCGTCATCCAGGGGTGTAGCGGGCCCTGCTTGGGGGCGCTGCTCTGCAGAGACGAGGCCACTTCTGACAGTGCCTGCTCCACTCTGGAGGCTGCCACGGATGTGGCATGGACAGAGCCTGTGGGGGGGGGGCGGTTCGAGAAGACGGAATCAGAAGTAAAAGGACGGATCCACGCGACCAGCCATCCACCCACCCCCTCCCACACACAGACACAAGTTCAAGACGAACACACACTCCTCCCCCCATGATGCTTCCAAGTTGTATGTCCATAAAGAAATACAGACAATCATTACGGCCTTGAACGGGAGTTTCCATCCTGCGCTCGAGCTAATGTTTTAGTCAACAACCAGAGCACATGCTATGGGAGGCGCTCCATCCGGGAGCTCAGTCTAGGACAGCGCGAGTGTTGGGGCAGGAGAGGCGTAGAGCTGGACACACGGCCGTGACGCTCATGCTGAAACGTGGCATAAATGAAGGGCTACAAAGTCAAGTGACACAGCACGCCCGGCTGGGCTGAAGTCTAGAAACCATCTGGGGGGCAGAGGGAGGAGTCATCCTTGCCTCCTGGGGATGGAGGAGACCATGCTCAAGACAAACCCAGCAACTTGCCATTCCTCTCCCTGGCCTTCGAGAGCTGGCCAACGCTCCTAGATCTGGAACTCTAGGACATGACCTAAGGATAGGAGGAGCACACGTTGGCCCTACGTACGAGCAGATGTCCATTGTCAAGGCTGCGCTAAGGGAGGATGGCACCTGGGCTCAGGAGGGGTACCCGTCTGCCTCGGGGGCAAAGCCTGTTGTCCTAAACGGCTAGGGAGAGGAGCAGGCCAAGCACATCCACTTGTCAAACGAAGCTGGTCAAGCAACTTCTATTCAGAAATCAAATGACTCATTCCCCGTCCCGTTGCCCTTCCACGGGGTCCTGGCGGCTGGAGTGCACTCCCTCCACAGGGGGCTGGCTTCTCACCTCTCCCCCCATACTCCCTCTTGGAGGGGTGGCCTCAGAGCTGAGAGCAGGTGTCTCAGTCATTTCAAACTGCAAACTGTTGATATTTATGTCACTGGCTGCATTCTTCATTTTTAATTCATCATACAGTGTACTATGGAGAGAGACGTTCCGACATCGTGAGTGGTAACTCTCGACTTATTGTAAGGTTTCAAGTAGTGATCATCTATAAAGGCAAATGCTGACCACTCCAATGAACCCAGCTGGTTATACTCTGGGTAAGACAAAACTGTGCGCATAAAAATAATTTCTGTTGGGGCTTTGAGATGCGCCACAATTTATTCATTTTGAGAGTATTTGCAGCAAGAGGCTGGCTATCCATATTGTGCTTTGACTGTTCCAACATGAAGGAAACATGGGTACCTCTAAATACACTCAGATCCTTCAGCGGGGGTTTGGTGGAGGGGGCTCACGGGAGGCAGACGGAAACCAGACTGGGAATCCGCCTTCTGTGGATAATCCACACAGAGCACCCACGAGGACGAGCGAGGAGAGCGCCTCTGGGGATGGACAGGGAGTCCTGCAGAGGGAACCAGGACACGCAGGAGGAGGAACCGGAGGCCGAGTTAAAAGACACCAGTCGATGCCATTATGATCCAGAACTCACGAAGCTCAGCTAAGGACTGACCCTTGCTTAGACAAAGTGTGTCTGACTACTTAGAAAAAAAAAAAAAAATCAAAACAGCAAAATGATTAGACTGCTGTCGATTATTTTGGTCTTGTTTTGTTTTGGCCTTTCTATGGAAAAGAAATATTTTAACTTTGAGAACAAGGATTTGATACAGTTTTCCTGAGAACTTTAGTAGCAACTGTCAGCTAAATAAACAAGGTTGCTGTATATTCTGATGTCACCACGCTGGCTCGCCTTCTCATCGCCTGCCTTGAACAGTGGTTCTCAACCTTGGCTTCGGATCAGAATTACTTGGGGACTTTAAAGACCATGATGCCATAGCTAGCCCCAGGTGAACCGAATCACTAACTCTAGGGGTGAGGGCAGGCCTCTTGCTAATTGCCTAGGTGATTCCGCTGTGTGGCTGGGAGACCCATCCACCTGGAGAGACAGAAAGCAGTTTCTACTAACATTTGGTCAAGAAAAGCCTGAAGGAATATTCTACATACACCAGGCAGGGAGCATGAGCTCCCCAGCTTCCCTGCAGGCCAAGACCCTGGGGAACAGAGTTCCAGGAAGATCTTGTTCTTCAGAACACTGATTCTCAATTCTCCTGGTCTCAGGATCCTTTTATAGACTCTGCAGAGTCCCTGAGACCCCTGCCAGAGATTTTGCTTCCATGGGTTATATCTATTGATGTTTTTGCCACATTGGAAATGAAAACTTGAGAAATGCTTAAAATACCTAGTCATTAATTCAGTTGCAACTAACAATAATAAATACTGAAGAAAAATTCAACCTGTTTTCTCCTAGGTTCTATGGGTCCTTTGCTACGAGGACCTGTGACTTTTGGCGGAGCTAATTTTGGTTTTTGGATTCATTATTTGGTCTGCAAACAAATTAATGAGAACCATTGTTAAAGTCCCTTCTCTTCGTAATAGCTATACACAACTAAATTAACTATTCACATAATAACATGGTTCCCTGTGAATAAGTTCTGGCAAACGATGACAGTAGTGATTATCAGTTTTAGTGAACATGGCATGGCAGGTTTCAGGCAGTCCAATTAGCACTTTACGTATATATTTCATTTAACCTTTAAACAATTCTGTGAGGCGGCTAACGATGTTACTGCATGCTTTAGACAACAAAACTGAGATTTAATGAGCTTATGAATTTGTCCAAAGTCATACAGCCAGTGGGTGGCAAAAGTAGGACTAGAACAGTAGTCTAATTCCCAATCTAGCCTCCACATCCAGCTCCCGTACCATCTCCTCCAGAAAGGCTGCCGTGAGCCTTCCGTTTCTTCTCTCTGTCACTCCCCTGTAAGAAGGTGGTGGGCCTTGGGTCCTCAGTGCTCCTCCAGCTCCCTGTGGGTATGGCTATCCACTGCACAGACCACAGCGTTTTCTGTTAACGTCACTGTCTCTCCTCTTAAGACTGTGGTTCTAGAAGACAGGAGGCAGGCCCCACATCGAGGTGCTTTCGCGGCTGACCATGCCAGGCCCACGAGAGCTACCAGGTAAACGCTTGCAGAATGAATGAGTACTGTTGACAGACATGTCACTGTCTGAAATCTGGAAGAGAGTGGTCGGTCCCCTCTTTTGGAAGCATGTCTGTGTGCTCTACTCTCCTGGTCTAACAATGGCTCAGAGGCCAGAACCTTCATTGTCTCAAAGGGCTTCTCCGCGTGGCTGTCCTCACCTCCAACTGCCCGGACTGCAAATGACTGTGGCACATAGTAGCTTAAACACTGCTCCTCACTCCGTGACTTTCCTCCGTCTCTAATATAACTATGCCATTTAAATATGGAGGGGAACTGCTGTTTTCCCTCCTAGTCGATCCCTTTTAACACATGCTTCGCAAGGGCAGAGACCCTTCATGTTCTAAACTAGGGACAGATATTAGAGCATTCGGGTATTTGCTAACAATAGCAGGTGACTAATAATAAGGGCCACATTACTGAAGAGTTAACGTCTACTATTCCTGGCAATAATACAATAAGTCAAGTTCTTCCATAGGATTAGAATTTGGAGGAAAAAAATAAACATCATTATGAATCAGAATGGATATATCTGATAAAAAACAAAAACAAACAAAAACAAAAACAGCCTGTAAGTGACTGTCTCATAGGACTGAAATGATAAGTGCCAAAATAGATAACTTTACCAAAATAGATTTTGATTTATGTAGGTACACAACTAGAAATGCTAGTTTTAACCAACATTTGTTTTTTTAAAGACATTTGTTTTTTTAAAGCAACCCTTGTCTTTCTCACCAAAGCAAATATATCCCCACAGTGTACGTGGGGGTGGAAGGGATTATTACCCTAAGGGAAATGGACAAATTGAGGCTTAAAAAAGGAACCAGAGGGAGGAATATAAGATATATTTCTAATTTGAAATCCAAGACTCTGGAGGAATAAGCTTCCACATAATCAGGTTCAACAGGTAAGCGGGGGAGAGTGCCCGGCTGCTGAGCATCTCTTATTTACCACATTAATTCGAGATGTGCTTATCACTGTCGTAATCCTGCAGGCCGAGCAGGGCTGTGCTCTCCCAGGGCCCTCAGCCACAGGGCACAGAGGCTCTGAAAAGCCACTGCAAAGCAACTGAACCAAGAGCTGGTGCAGGCAGCAGAGAGTGCGTCCGGCAATCTGGTCCAGGTTCTGTGACCTAATTGTCCAAATGGTCCAGGGGGCAGCAGATGCCCTGGCGCTGAACAGATCCGCATCTCCCCAAGTCAACTGCTTTCTCTTCTCTGCTACCCAGATGCCCTAAAGAAAATGTTATCTGGGACACCTGATCCAAAGGCAAAGTGCTACCTGAAGAACTGTTCGGATTCCTACACCCAGGGTTTTCGTCTGGAGGGGTGGGGGAGGACGGGAAGGCAATAGAGAGGACCCAGGGACTGTGGTGGGCAGGCAGCTCCCCACGGCTGAGAGGACCCAGAACCAAGGCCACTGACCTCGGGAAGCCATGAGTCCAAGCTCTGAACCCCTCCCGAGGTTTTCTGACCCAGGCTGTTGTCATGTGCTGAAGCCTGCTGAGAACCCCCGCGGCAAATGGGACACCGGGAGCAGCCAGCTCAGATTGCTGGTACAGCCGGAGCCTTCCCGAAAATCCTCTCTCCAAAGCACGCTACCCCTGTGGTCGACCCCACACGGACCTTGGAGGGGGCAATCGCATGTGAACCCCATCTCACCATTCAAAGGGATCTCAGAGGCCACAACCTTGTTAGGCACAAGGCGTGAGACACGGTCTGGCTACTTTCACAAACATGGTCACTGGATGCATGGCCACTATTTAGAGTCTAGCTGTCCTTCGAACTGTTCTGGTGGCACTGGGTAATCGGCTCTCATCTGAAGGGGGTGCACCTCCCTCTCCCCTCACAGCTTCCCAGTGTGTCGTAGCTACACTAGATCTTAGATGAATCTCTGCCCACCTGGTGCCTGAGCAGGTGTCAGCGTCCAGGCACAAGGGACGAGTGTTACATGATGTG